ATAGGATGCTGGCTGTGGGTTTGTCATAAATTGCCTTGATTGTGTTGAGGAATGTTCCTTCTATACCCTATTGCTTAAAGTTTTCATCATGAAAGGGTGTTGTGTTTTATCAAATGCTTTCTCTGTATTTGTTGAGATAATATGTTTTTGTTGTTCAACTTGTTAATGTGATGTATCACATTGATTGATTTGTGGTTGTTAAAGCATCCCTGCATACCTGGGATAAATCCAGCTTGGTTCTGAATTTGTAATTATGAAATATATGAAGTTTGTTTTCCTTAAATAGAAGGTTTCTAGGGGGTGGGCAGTGTCTGGTAGAATTCAGCAGTGAAGCCGTCCGGTCCTGGGCTTTTCTTCATTGAGAGGATCCTTATTATTACTGATTCACTTTCTGTCTTGGTTATGGGTCTGTTTATGTTTTCTTTGTCTTCATGGCTCAATTTAGGTAGATTGTATGTGTTCAGGAATCTATCCATTTCTTTTAGGTTTCCCAATTTGTTGGCATACAGCTCTTTGTAGTAATTTCTTTTTCATCTTTAATTTTATTGATTTGGGCCTTCTCCTTTTTTTTTTTTTTTTTGTTTATTGGGCCTGTGGTGTGTCAATTTTGTTTATTTTTTCAAAAAACCAGCTTTTAATTTTGCTGATATTTTGTATTTTTGTTTCAGCTATGTTTATTTATTCTCTAATTTTAATTATTTCTTTTCTGCTAGTTTTGAGTTTGGTTTGCTGTTGTTTTTCCAGGTCCTTGAGATACACTGATAGCTCATTTATTTGGTGCTTTCCAATTTCTTGATGTGGGCACCAATTGCTATAAACTTTCCTCTTACCACTGCTTTTGCTGTATCCCATATATTTTTTAAAAGATTTATTGATTTATTTAATAGGCAGGGTTGGTGGTGTAGGAGGGTTCTTCCATCTGCTAGTCTACTACCCAGTTGGCCACAATGGCTGGAGCTATGCCGATCCAAAGCCAGGAGCCAGGAGCTTCTTCTGGGTCTCCCACGAGGGTACAGGGACCCAAGGACGTGGGCCATCTTCCACTGTTTCCCAGGCCAGCAGAGAGCTGGATCAGAAGTGGAACAGCTGGGATTTGAACTGGCATCCATTTGGGATGCTGGCACTGCAGGCAGCAGCTTTACCCGTGAGGCCACAGCACAGGCCCCATGTCTGTATCTTTTAACTGGAGAGTTGAGGCCATTAACATTCAAGGTGACTGTTGATAAGTAACTGGCCCTGCCATTTTCCCATTAGTAGTCCTATCGTTTACTTTGGATTTCCTTTGTATGTTTACTGGGAGATTTTCTGCCTTTACCTTCCTTCACAGTGATGACCATGTTTATCCTTAAGCATCTTCTGTCAGGCTGGGTGAGTGGTGACAAATTCTTTTGATTTCTGTTTGTTGTGGAACATCTTTATTTCACCTTCGTTCATAAATGAGAGCTTTGCAGGGCACAGTATTCTGGGTTGACAGTTTTTTTCTCTTAAGACTTGGAATACATCTTGCCATTCTCTCCTAGTCTATAGGGTTTCTGATAAGTCAGTTGTGAGTAATTGGAGATTCTCTGAAAGTAATCTGGCATTTCTTCGTGCACATGTTAGAATCTTTATGTTTTACTGTGGAGAGTTTGACTACAATGTGTTGTGGTGAGGATCTTTTCTGGTCATGTCTATTAGGAGGTCTGTGTGCTTCCTGTACTTGGACATCCCATTCTTTCTCCAAATTAGGGAAGTTTTCTGTAATTATTCCCCCCAAATGGGTTTCTAGTGCATTTTCTCTTTCCGCACCTTCAGGAACTCCTGAGGCCTGTATGCTGGTCATATGGTAGTGTCCCGTAGATCTCCAGCACTGTTTTATTTCTATATTTTGTTTGGATTTCTCTTTAAAATCTCAATTTCATGAGAAAATTTTCTTTCATGTCATGTACACATTTCTTTAGTTTGTGGGTTTGTGTCTGATTGCTTCTACATAATCCTACAATCAATTTTTTGAATTCCATTTCTGGCATTTCTTCGATCTCTTCATTTCACAGTCTAGTATTGAAGTGTTGTTGTGTTCCTTTAGGGGTATCATGTTGTCTTCCTTATTCTTGTTTCTTGAATTGCTGCACTTATTTTTAGGCGTTTGTGGTGATACTTGTTGGTTTTTCCCCACTGTGATGGCTTTATCTTTGAGCCATGCCTCTGGGACTTAGTGCAGTGTCTGCTCTTTCACTGAATACCCTGAGGTCTGCCGGCTGTGGCAGGGAGCTCTGATCGTGCTCCAGGGTGAGGGGAGTGTCCAAGGTGACTCCAAGTTGGGCACGGTAAATCTCTTTCTTTTTTCTTTTATCAGAGGGACAGTTTGTTTAGCTCTGTTAGCATAGTCTCACGCTCTCCTTCTCTCCTCAAAGGAGACCAGTGCCTGGGCGCTAGCCCCAGTGGGTACAGTTTTCATACATGTTGCCACCAGAACCACACAAAGAGTCTGTGCAGTCCTTGGTGCGAGCATGGATCCTGCAGCAGTGACCCTCACCAGGCAGTCAGGGAGCCCCGAGCATGTGGAGCCGCCTGCAGTGCCTGCCCAGAGTCCCAGCCACGTTCCGTGTCCTCACATGCAGCCCCAGTGTCTGCGTAGGCCCCAGTACACAAGGCTCCCGCAGTCAGGAGCCCCCAGCCAGACTCAGGCATCTCTTCTTGGGCTGGTTGCTAGGCACGGACACAGGCTGGTGCAGTTGTTACATATGTCCCAAACGGTGCCCGGCCTCTCTCAATGCTGGGTGGTCAGGGAGGGAGGAATGTGCCCCCTGTATTTCCCTCTATGTTAGCAGGTACACTGTCCCCTGCAGGGCTCCAAGCCGGACTCCCGCCAGGCTCGTCCCACTGCTTTATTCTCAGCGGCGTGGGCGGCTGCAGTCTGGTCGCACCTCACTCCAAGGCCGGTGCTGAGGCTCTCGCTGCTGGGTCCTGAGCTGTGCACGTCCACACCCTCCACGTAGGCCCACTGTGTCCCTCTAATTTGCGTGGAGTTTCCTCTGCCATGTTCCTACTAACTCTTCCCTGAGACTGCTCTCTCCACCTTTTTTTATTTATTTATTTATTTATTTATTTATTTATTATTTTTGACAGGCAGAGTGGACAGTGAGAGAGAGAGAGAAAGGTCTTCCTTTTCCGTTGGTTCACCCCACAATGGCCGCTGTGGCCGGCACACTGTGCTGATCTGAAGCCAGGAGCCAGGTGCTTCTCCTGGTCTCCCTTGCGGGTGCAGGGCCCAAGCACTTGTCCTTCCTCCACTGCACTCCCTGGCCACAGCAGAGAGCTGGACAGGAAGAGGAGCGACCGGGACAGAATCTGGCGCCCCAACCGGGACTAGAACCCGGGGTGCCGGCTCCGCAGGCGGAGGATTAGCCTATTAAGCCATGGCACCGGCCTCTCCACCTTTTTTAAACTATCTTCCCCTAGACTAGAGCAGTGAGCTCCCTCCCTATTCCGCCATCTTGACTCTCAAAATATTTTTAAAGAAAGAAAGCTCCTGCTCCAGGTGACACGGGGGAAGGTGTGTGTCGAAGCCTAAGAGCGCTCGGCAGCCTTGGGACGCTTTGCTGTTGCAACAAGCAGTTCTTCACGTGCTCCTAGTGAAATGGCTTCTTGGAATTGAACAGTTTATGTTGTGCTTGGTGGCAGTGGTGGTACTAGTGCAGTGCCTTCCTTTGTTGTTATGTTTTGAAAGACAGAGAGAGAGAGAGAGAGAGAGAGAGAGATCATTCATCGCTGGCATATTCCCCAAATGGCCGCAACGACCAAGGCTGGGCTAGGCTGAAGCCAGGAGCCAGGGGCTTCTTGCGGGTCTCCCATGTGGGTGCAGGGGCCCATCTTCCACTACTTTCCCAGGCGCATTAGCTGGGAGATGGATCATAAAGGAGCAGCCAGGACTTGAACCAGTGCCCATATAGGATGTGGGCATTGCAGGCAGTGTCTTTACCTGTTATGCTATAATGCTGACTCCTCTTTTGAAAGTGCTTGTTTATTTTTATTTAGTTGGAAGGCAGAATGACAGAGAAGAAGAGACAGAGCTTAATCTCCCACCTGCGGGTTCACTCCCCAAACGGCCACAATAGCGAGGCCTGGGCCAGGCCAGTCAGAAGCCAGGAACTCCATCGAGGTCTGCCATGTGGGTCAAAGGTTCCCTGCTGTATGGGTATGTGTTAGCAGGAAGCTGGGATCAGAGGCAGCGCAGCTGGGACTTGAGCCAGGCACTCTGCTGTGGGGTGTAGCTATCCCAAGCAGTGGCGTAGCCTGCTGTGTATGTCACTTGCTCCTACTGCCACTGTTTCTGATTAACGTGTGTGCATGGTGTTGGCACACAGACATCAGCTGCCTTGAGGAGTGTTCTGTTTACTGTTGGAAATAGACACCTGAGCAGGTCACGAGACCCCGAGGGCCGTCGGGCCCAGGGCTGGGGCAGTGGCACTCCTGGATGGGATCAGCTGTGTTTCTTTCCAGTGCTGTAGGCTTGGAGGTTCTGATAATGAAATTAAGATCCTGCCTTGAGTGTTTCCTTAACGCCCCATCACAGCTCTGTGTCCTTACAGACTCCCTAGTGACTGCTCTTGATCTGGTGCTGCTGGCTGGAGGAGCTGGGGCCCGGGCTCTCAGGTACTGTCCAGTGAGCCCATCCTGCACCTCCGTGGAGCCCAGGCAGGAGCCGCAGGCCAGGAGGGCCTCAGGGCCTTTTCTGCCCGTGTCCCACTGTTGGGTGTTTTCAGCTTTCCAGCAAACGCCACGTGTATGTCAGGCTGAGCTGGGGGGTGAGTGCAGGTGTCATCGAGCCGACCACACCGGGCAGGTGTTCGGTGATCCCCTTCGCCATGTGGCACCCGGGAGAAAGGGCAGACATGTCCTGTTTTCGTCATGGGTCCTGAGAAGTGGCCAGCTGAGACTGATGCCATCTATGAATTGATGACTGCCGGACTCATCAACGTAAAGGATTTGACCCTTTTTGCTGTAACCCCTCCCCCCAGGGTCATCAGAGAGCTGTCAGCGAAGGCACTGCACAACCTGGCCCCACGAGCACCCGAGTACTGCGCCACTCACGGTAGGTGCGCCCCAGCCATCCTGCAGGCACACGTGTGACCACACGTACAGACCCAGGCATGCATGTGCATACTCAGCGCCTGCTGTATGCGGGACAGAGGTGTGTGTGTGTGCGTGTGTGTGTGTGTGTGTGTGCGTGTGTCTGCCTGCTGAAAACAATGTTTTGTCTCCCTCTTGCTGGGAAGTGTTGGATGAATTGGCCATGGGTTTACCCAGGGGGTGTGTGTATGCGTGTGCCTGTGTATGTAAGCATGTGTGTACATGTGTATATATGTGCATGTGACCGTATGTACACGTATATGTTCATGTGAACATGTGCATTGCATGTGAGCATGTGTACACACATGTGTATGAGCATGTGGACATGTGTGTGCACGTGAGCGTGTGTGCATGCGTGTGTGTGTGTGTGTGTACTGGGAGCCTCTAGGCTGTGTGTAAGTGCCAGCATCTGAGCAGAGTCTGTAGGCCTCATCACGAAAATGTGAAAATGGCGACACTCGTCAGAATGCCCGCCAAGCTCCGGTGGCACCTGGTTTCCAGGCCGCTCATCTTGCTTGCATCTGTGAATGTCTGGACGGAGGATTCCGTCTGCCTCCGTGTGGAACCTGCTTCGGAGCAGAGCAGCAAGGTCTCGTCTGGTAGCCTCATTCTGGTTCAAGTGAAACACTGAGTCGTGCCCGTGTTTGCCACTTAGAATAAGTCAGGACCCTACTTGGCAGTGGGGAAAACACACACGGCTCGAACCTTGCTTTTCTGTGTTGTCCAGAGCCATCCAGGCTCGGCTTTTGGTCTCGGGGGGGTGTGTTTTCTGAGTGACTGGAGACCCCACAAGCCCCTTTCCACCTGCCTTCCCTGGTCCTGTCTCCCACAGTTCTCCCCCGGCTGCTGTCCATGACGCTGAGCCCGGATCTGCACAGCCGGCATGGGGCGATCCTCGCCTGCGCGGAGCTTACCCACGCGTTGCACAAGCTCGCGGTGCAGCAGGGCAGGTAGGCCTCGGCGTGAGAAGGCTGTTGTGCTGGGAAAGCCTCCCCTCGTGCCCACCCTGTAATTACAGTGATCGCAGGTTTGGGCCATCTCAGCGGTTTTAATTTTTGTTTATTTGTACGGGTGTTGCGGTCTCTATGTTCCCAAAGATTTGTTTGTTAAGTTGGCAAATGGGCCTCTGTCCTGGTGAGTCACATCCGAGGGTGGACCACCCACCTCTGCTTGCAAGGACCTTAACGTGGCCCGGGCCCAGCGGCGCCCCCTGGTTCCTGAGGCAGTGAGCTGGGCTGTCAGACGCTGTGGGCTGCCCACAGGCTCGCGTCGTCTGTCCCTGCAGCAGCAGCGTTTCCTGGTGTGCGCAGATAGCAGGGAGGAGGTACCCACTGCTGGGCTTCTCACCTTGGTGTTTGTGAAGTGAAACATCACACACACGGTTTCCTGATCCTTAGCCTCCAGTCTGAGAAAAACTGCTGAGGTGGTTCCCTAACCATGGGGATAGCACCGCGTTGGCTTGGCCCCACCTCACTGGCCTGGCCAGCCCTGAGGAAGGTCTGGTTGCAGAGCCCCTCGTGTCCCCATTCCCGGAGCACAGCTGCACAACCAGAGGTCACCCTGCACCTTTGTGTGGGGTGAGACGGTATCTGTGGGCCAAGCCCAAACGTGGCACCGCTGTCGTCCACTGTGAGAAAAGGCAGATGGAGGTGTGCGTGTGCGCGTGAGCGTGTGTGTGTTGGAGGGGGCTGGGCAGGAGCTTCCAGAACCACCTTCCAGTGGGATTGCGCAGGGCATGTTCCCTCCCTGAGCAGTAGTGACAGGTATGGGGTGTTGTCTGCCAGGGAATCGTGTTGAGGTCCTGTGCCCTGAGTTTGGGGGCTGTTCACAAAGGCTCCTCTGCCTAGCACAGGAGGCTCGGTCCCAGCCTGTGCACACAGACTGGGCCTAGTGGGTCACCCTTCTCCATTGGGAACGGCGGGAGCCCTGCTGGCTGTGCTTTTCTGAGGAGCCAGGTGAGCCCTTAAGCAGAGATGAGCAGGAAGTTGCTGGGGCCAGAGCATTGCGAGTGCTTCCTTCCACTCATTCCCTGTGACTCTGCGTCTTTATGTAAAATCAGAAGTGAGGACACACCCTGGGGGATGCAGGGACAGCCGGAGCCGGAGCATCTTCCTGCACCTGCGTGCTCTGTGGCGTGCCATGGGGTCTCAGTCCCGCTGACCTCAGTGCTATGTTCTGTTCCTGCAGGCCCCTCACGGACTGCCTGGATGAGAAGGCTGTGCAGGGTCTGAAGCAGATTCACCAGCAGGTCTGTGTGGGCCCCGTCTCAGCCCCGGGGCTGCTGTACAACCTCCTGTCCTGGGTGCAGTAGGGTGACCAGGCGTGACCACGCTGGGAGCCCAGTCCCTCTTTGACATCACCCTGTGACCAGCCACTGTGGGTCCTTCTAGGGCAGGAGGTGGGGACAGACTTCTCGTGTGGCCACAGTGTGCTTGTGCACGCAGTGGGGGTTTCAGATGAGCTAGGCTGGGCACCCAGAACTGTAGCAGGGTCTTTGGGTTCTAGCTCTGCATGTCAGGCTGGGATGCTGCGTCTCCTGAAAGTAAATCCAGAATTTTGTGTGGACATTTCATGCAGAAGGGAGATTATGCATTTTTCTGGGTTTTTCAGTTGTCAAGGGCTTCTGGACTCAGAAGAGGTAAAATCTAACTGTGTCTCTTAGCATTGTAGGATCATATAAAAATCATGAGGAATGAAATGGTTTTGCTTTTTGTTATTCAAAATAGATTTATATTTAAAAAAAAAAAAGATTTTATTTATTTGAGAGGTAGAGTTACAGACAGTGAGAGGGAGAGACAGAGAGAGGTCTTCCAGCTGCTGGTTCACTTCCCCAGATGGCTGCAACGGCTGGAGCTGGGCCGATCCGAAGCCAGGAGCCAGGAGCTTCCTCCAGGTCTTTCCACATGGGTGCAGGGGCCCAAGCACTTGGGCCATCTTCTCCTGCTTTCCCGGGCCACAGCAGAGAGCTGGATTGGAAGAGGCATAGCCGGGACTAGAACCGGTGCCCATAGGGATGGCGGTGCCACAGGCAGAGGGTTAACCTGTGCCACAGCACTGGTCACTATATATTCTATTTTAAAGATTTATGTATTTGAAAGGCAGAGTTACAAAGAGAGAGAGAGATTTTCCATTTACTGCTTCACTACCCAAATGGCTGCAGTGAGCAGGGCTGTGTCAGGCTAAAGCCAGGAGCTTCTTCCAGGTCTTCCATGTTGTTGGCAGGGGCCTAATCACTTGAGCCTTCTGGTGCCTTAGCAGGGAGCTGGATCGGAAGTGGAGCAGCTGAGACTTGAACCGACACCCATATGAGGTGCCGGCATCACAGGCAGTGGCTTTACCCACTGTGCTACAATGCTGGCCCCAAGAGTTTCATATTATTTAAAATTTCCTTTTTTTGTAATAATTTATCATTTTGATCTTGGACTTTAGTTGGTTTGCTTACATTTTTCACATTTGATAGTGCAGGCTGTGACTGTGCACATGTTTGGGCCTCAGTTTCTGTAAAACATGGGTAGTCATAGAACCTTCTTTGAGATTTTGTAAGAATTGCAAATTGCGTTGAAAGGATTGAGTAGAATTGTTGGCCAAGTGTGGACACTGAGTAAATTTTAGCCGTGACAGTAATGGGGATATTTCCTGTGGAGAAAATGCAACAGCAGCGTCCTGTCTGGCACGGTCAGTTTTCTGCCGTGAACTGTCTCGGGGATGTTTGAGAGTCAGACCCTGGGGCCAGAGCACGGCTTAGTCCTTCCCACGCCACCATGGCCACCCTCGCGCTCTCCGCCTCTTTCCCTTCCCAGGGCAGTGCACGTGGCCGGGAGGCTGAGATGGTTACTGAGGCGTCGATGGGGCCACAGCAGAGGGTGGGAGGCCTTGTCCTCGGCCGTGCGGTTGGCCCAGCGCCTAGAGAGCCTTGATCCGCCTCCAGGCCTTATTCGTGTTTGGATTCTTGTTAATGTTGAATATGTGCTGGTGTTTGAAAGCCCAGATTATTCAAATAACTCTCCGTTCTTTACTTTCAGCTTCACGAGCGTCAGCTGTACAGGTAAGCCTCTCAAAAGCTAAGTTTTTATGGTTTATGTCTTTTTTTAGTCTTACTTATTATTTGAAATGCAGAGTGACAGAAGTCAGCCTGTTCATTCCCCAGATGCCCACAGCAGCTGGGCTCGGGTTGCTGAAGCCAGGAACAGCAGCTCCATGCAGGTCTCCCACGTGGGTGGCAGGGATGCAGCACTTGCTGCCTCCCTGGCTGCTTTAGCAGGAAGCTGGATTTGAAGAGGAGCAGTCAGGACTTGAGCCAGGCACCCTGATACAGGACAGGCATCCCAAGTGGATACTCAACTGGCTGTACCACAATGCTGCACCTACATTTAGTGTCTTAAGAAAAAAATCATATTGCCAGGAAGAGTCTGGGCGGTGTGCTCTGTGTCCATCTTTCTGAAGAGGAGTAGCTATTACTCAGTATCCAAGGGCATGAAGGTCGTAGCCCCGGGGTTTGAGGTGTTGTGGGGCTCACTTCACGTGTGATGGTGTTTGCCCACGTGTGCTTTGCTGGGCTGGCTCTTTGTCCCAGGTACAGCCCCCACCCACCAGGATGCAGTGCAGGGAGTCCCTGGGAAGTTGCTCCTGCCTTTTGCCTTTGGTCCCTCCCAGACCCCTGGCTCATGGCACCCTGAGTCGCCTTCATTGCTGTGGTCTTTCGTTTTCTACCATTTCATGCAGATGGACTCAGCGCCGAGCCTTTGGGCTGGTTTCTTTCTTGGGGCAAGCTGTTTGAAGGTTCACTTTGATACTTGGCTCCTCCAGTCCATGGACAATTTGGGGTGACACCGAGCCTCTCTGTGTGCTACTTGAGCTCCCCGTGTGGTCTCGGCAGAGCGGCTGCTCTGAGCCCTGGCTCAGGAAAAGCTTCGTGCCTGTCTTGTTGCCAGCACAGCTCCTCCTGAGTTCTGGGTGCAGCTGTTTGTCAGCCTTTGTAGTTTGACGGAAGTGACTCCTCAGTGTGTCTTGTGTGGGACGGTGAGCATCGTGTTGTTTGCTGAAGGCCTTTTTGATCTTTTTTAGCTGCCCTGTCTGGGGCCTGGGTGGCCTTGCAGTTGCCAGCGCACAGCCCTGTGCTTCCGTCGACAGCGAGGTTAGAGCTGGAAGTTGCTCTTCGTCTGTCTCTTCCCTGCTGGTTTCCCAGCCTCTCCTCTGGACTCTGGCCCAGCGACAGGAGAGGGTGGGTCTCTGGGTCCCTGGCTTCACTGTGGCCACAGGGAAGGCCCCAGATGCTGCCCACAGAGCAGAGACCTGTGTCCCGCCTCCAACTACTGTCTACTCGCTCTGGTTAGGTGAAGGGCATTTCTGGTTTGCATTTCCTCAGGGAAGGTGTCACCTGAGCTCCCACCTGTAGGTCTCTGTCCCCATGTGTGTGCCGTGGTTCTTCTAGACCTAGGTAGACAAGAAGATGGCTCTGCCTGCTGGTGCTTGGGATTCATCGTGGTTTCCCATGGGCCATGATGCTTACCTGACACTGGGTGTGAGGGTAACATTGGGACCCCATGTGTCCTTGGAGTATTGTTTTCTTGTGAGGCCAAGTCCTCAGGACCACCTTGTGGTCCAGCGACTTCCTGTAGGGACTCAGCAAGGCCAGGACTTGCATGGTTGTGATGACAGTGAATGGGCTGGTCAGGGAAGAGGCCCACAGGGCAGTGACCCAGTGGACCAGCATGGGCCTCCTATGTCCTCTCCTGCTGAGTCATGCCAACAGCCCTTGTAGGACCCCAAAAGCGGTGTCCTCTTGTGACGACCCCAGAAACACAGACTCCGGACCAGACGATGCAATAGAACAGGAGGTAACTTTATTTCATTTGTACAAATGGGCCCTCTACTGCTGCAAGCAGCAAGCAAGCGAGAGGAGCCCCGAGCAGCTATCTCACACAGCTTTTAAAGGGCAAAACCACAAAATTAACATATTATAGGCTGGCGTAAGTTCATTGGATAATTTTCAGTAGCGGGCCTTGTATGGCAGTCTGAAGTGCTAATGTCCGTGGAAAAGTACTAGGTCAAAGGGATACATTAGGGGAGGGGGTTTCTAGGAGACAGGAGTAGGTTGCTACATGCCTTGTAACTTTCTTAGTTAACCTTGAGCAAGAGGAAGGAAGGGGGGCTTATCTACAAGGCAGGTGTTCTGCGTATCTCCGGTCAGTAGCTGACTGCTTTCTCTGTGAACCGGTTTACTCCCCATTTTCCAAGGCCGTCTCTGGAACAGTTTGTCTCAAGAGCCCCATTTTTTTTTTTTTATGGTGGCTCTTGGCTCCTTTCATTCCCCCATTTTTTTCTTTGAACTAATTTTAATCTTAAAATTGTGTGCCCGTTAATGAGGGGTTTCAATATGGTCACTGGTGGCCAGGGCTTGATACTGTTGTGTGAGGACTAATGCCTGTACGGTGGACAGCCTATCCTTAACAAACTGGAGTAGTCGGTTTATAATGCATGGCCCGAAGGTCAGGATTAGGAGCAGGATAATGAGGGGGCCTGCTATGGTGGAGAGCAAGGTTGTCAGCCAGGGCGACCTGTAGACTCTGGCCCCCCACACCGGTAAATCTGATCCCGCCTTCTACCATCCCTGGGGCACACATAAAATTCAAGCTGACGTAGTCGGCACCTTCGGTATCGGTGTCTGCACCCTAAAGGACCAGGCTTTCCACCTGGACCCGGTGGTTTCAGAGTGAGGCTGTCTTGATCGGGTAAATCCCAGGTATCTAGCCCCAGGACCATCTGGCATACGTCTGGGTGGAGAGATGGCCACCATGTCCCTGGGATGCGAATGTCGCTGGTGGACCAGGCCACGCTACCCGAAGGGGAGATCACTTCCCAGGTGAGCTTTCGTGGGGCATGAGCGTTTGAGAGGGACAAGCTGGATAGGGTGAGACTAGGATGAGTCATAAGTAGTACAAGCAACAGGCTAATGATTACAAACATTAGGCAGTCTTTGAAAGTCTTATCTTGAGGGGGTTTTGAGTGCGCTGGAGCGTCCATCTGGCTGAGTCGTCCGCGGGGCCTTCTCCTTCCGGCAGTGCCTTCTTGACGTGGGAAGCGTGAATCCAAGCGGCGATCCCGTCGACCTTCACTGCAGTGGGAGTCGTCAGTAGCACCGTGTAAGGTCCCTTCCAACGCGGCTCGAGGGTCCTGGACTGATGTCTACGGACGTACACTGAATCTCCGATCTGGAACGGGTGTGGCACTGCAGGGCACTTGGATTGATACACTGCCGCTAGAGGTTTCCACACGTATTTTTGAATCAGCTGCAGAGCTCTCAGCCGGGTCTGCAGGCAGGGGGAAGTGGCATAAGAGTCAATACTAGGCCCCAACAAGTCAGCTATTGGGGGAGGGCCCCCATACAATATTTTATACGGAGTTAACCCGAACGCGGATGGGGTGTTGCGAGCCCGGAACAGGGCCATAGGTAATAGCTCAACCCAGTCTCTAGCGCCAGTCTCCATCATTAATTTAGTTAAGGTCTCCTTAATTGTTTTATTCATGTGCTCTACCTGTCCTGAGCTCTGGGGTCTATACGCACAATGCAATTTCCAATCAATCCCCAGTACTTTAGCCACCAACTGACTTACCCGGGAGACAAAGGCCGGCCCATTATCGGATCCCAGTACCTTAGGCAAGCCAAACCGCGGAAAGATTTCTTCCAAGATTTTCTTGACCACCACCTGCGCTGTTTCCTTCTTTACCGGAAAAGCCTCTGTCCAGCCGGAGAAAGTGTCTACAAATACTAGAAGGTACTTAATTCCACATTTACCGGGACGAATCTCGGTAAAGTCCACTTCCCAGTTCGTTCCCGGGCGTGCCCCTCGCATCCTTGCTCCCTCTGGTACTTTAATACACTTTGGATTTACTTTTGCACAAGGAACGCAAGACTCTATCACTTGTTTTACCAATGAGTCCAGTCCTATTATAAAATAGGTTAGTTCTTCTCTGTCCAGTAGGGCCTTTAACTTTTTATGTCCCAAGTGGGTCCATCTATGGAGGTCTTTTATAAGGTCTTTGGCTTCCTTTTTCGGCAATACTGTTTTTCCCTGGATCTCCCAGGCCTTACTCTGGTCATTGTACACGCCTCCCAGTCTCTGGATAGCCGTCATATCTTGCTCCGAATATGACCACCCAGGGTTATTTGTGGTTTCAGATGACTGCGTTACTAGAGTGACGCTATCCAGGGCCCTTGTTTTAGCTACCTCATCCGCCATTCTATTCCCCTTGGCCACTGCGTCATCTCCCTTCTGATGACCTGGGCAGTGGATGATGCTCACTTTCTTAGGAAGGTGGAGGGCTTGTAGGAGGTCTAGGATCTCCTGCTTATTTTTAATGTCCTTGCCCCCTGAGGTTAGCAATCCTCTCCTCCGATATATTTCCCCATGTATATGCGCAGTGGCAAAGGCATAACGGCTGTCTGTATAAATATTTACTCTCCGGTTCTCAGCGGCACGAAGTGCTTGAGTGAGGGCTATAAGTTCAGCCTTCTGTGCTGAAGTCCCTGGGGGCAGAGCAGAGGCCCATATGACAGTTTCCCCATCAACCACCGCCGCCCCTGCCTTTCTCTCACCTTGGTGCAAGAAGCTGCTCCCGTCCGTATACCAGGTGACTGCGTCTGACATGGGTAGATCGGTCAGGTCTTCTCGGGTCCCATGCACTTCGGCTAACACTTGGTGGCAGTCGTGGTCAACTTGTGATTCAGACCCCGGCTCAGGAAGCAGGGTGGCCGGGTTGAGCGAGGCAGCAGTCCCATACCGGATCCGTTCAGGGTTGAGCAGCATGGCCTGGTAGTGAGTGACCCTGGCGTTCGAGAGCCATCTATCTGGCGGTTGGCGGATGACGGCCTCGATGGCATGGGGTGCCACTATGGTGAGTGGTTGCCCCAAAGTCAATTTATCTGAGTCTTTCACCAAGACGGCCACAGCCGCAATCATGTGGAGGCAAGGGGGCCACCCCGAGGCGACACTGTCCAGTTTCTTTGAAAAATACGCCACAGGTCTTTTCCAGGGCCCCAAATCCTGAGTCAAGACACTCTTTGCCATTCCCCCTTTTTTATCCACATAGAGGGTAAAGGGCTTAGCGGGGTCCGGGAGGCTTAATGCAGGGGCCTCCAAGAGGGCCCGTTTTATTCTGTCAAAAGCTAATTGTTGTTCCCTTCCCCAGATGAACAGGGAATTTGTCCTGGTTAGGGGGTACAGGGATGCTGCCATTTCCGCAAAACCTGGTATCCAGAGGCGGCAGAGACCGGCGCTGCCCAAGAACTCCCCGGAAGTCCACCAAGTCCTGGTGTAGGGCTTCATCAAACAGCGTAGGGGAGTTCTTGAACCCTTGGGGAAGCCTGGTCCATGTTAGTTGTCCCGAAGACCCAGTCTCCGGGTCTTTCCACTCGGAGGCAAAGAGAGGTTGACTATGGGGACTCAGTCTTAGGCAAAAGAAGGCATCTTTCAAGTCAAGCACTGTATACCAAGTTCGGGTCGGGGGCAGGGTGCTCAACAGGTTGTATGAGTTAGGGACCGTGGGGTGAATGTCCTCAGCCCTACGGTTTACTTCCCGTAGGTCTTGCACTGGCCTGTAATCATTAGAGCCAGGCTTTTTGACTGGTAACAAAGGGGTGTTCCAAGGTGACGACAGTCTCATATGCCCAGTTTATCAGTCTCTGTAGTGTGGTCAATTTCATCCTTCGCCTCCGCAGCCATAGGGT